CAAATATAAAGAAGACAAAAGAAGTTAGAAATAAGGAATATAATATTCTTTTTTTTCTATTCATTCTTTTTCAGGGCGTAGGCAATCATGGCTCTTCACAATTTCCTGCTCTTTGTAGAATTTAGCAAAGTTTGTCTTTTTGCTATCTTACTTTATCCTTTTTCTGCCAACTATTTACGAAATCCAGTTAGGTACATTATACACTACTTTCCTCAGTCCCTCTTGACTTTAATATGTCCTGTTAGTGTTAAATTTTCTAAGCCCTCTTTCCTCGTACTTATTTATTTAGGAAATATACACCGAATAATTGATCTATTGGATTTATACATGAGTTTTTGTTCATCAGCTGTTTGAACCAATATGACAAGAGAGGCTGCTAAAAACTTCTTTTTCATCTTCTACGTGCGTGTCCCTTCAGGACGTGGGCGATCATGGTTCTCCATGATTTCCTGTTTTTGTAGCGCTTAGCTAATTTTGTCATTTTTGCTATCTCTCCTAGTCCCTGTTTCGCCAACCATTTACACAAGCTTGTAGCTAGTTAGGTAGGTAAGATCTTTAGAAAATAAAAAAAAAAGGCGAGAGAAGTTTTGATTGAAAGGTGTGTAGGAAAACCTCTTCTTCATGTGCCATATCCCTTCGGGACGTAGGCGACCATGGCTCTCAATAAATTTCTGTCTTTTGTAGCTCTCAATATATTATATCTTTTTGTTATTTGTTCAAATCCTGTTCTGTTATCCATTTAGTCAAGATCACTAAGTATGTTATGCGTTGTTTTCCTCTGTCACTCTTGCCTTGTGAGTATCAAATTTTCAAAGCCATCTTTCCTCAATATATTTTCTAGAAATTTCATCTCTTCCTGGTGTTAAGTATAATCTTGTTCACGTTTTCTCGAGAACTCCGTTGTTGCTCATATGTCCTGTCCATAATATCCTCGACATCCTTCTGCATAACCATAATATTACCCAATAAAAGACTCGAGAGACATTCAAGTAGAGGGCTTCATTTCAAAAGGTAATGATGACTGAGATGCGAGATATGAGTAGGTCATAGGAAGTGGAGATTTTTGGGAAAAGGAGGGCTTATAATTAAAGGGTGTTCCAGTAACTTGGACCGATTTTAAATGTGAATTAATTTTAAGTGTTTAATGATTTTTTTCTTTTACTTTCAGATTTGGTGGACATTTGGGCGATATTATTTTTCACACATAATATACCATGACTTACATAATATGATCCAATAAATAAATAAATAAATTTCCACCAATATCATTGATTTATTTACTGCTGACTTTGATCCGTCTTAATGAAACACCATTATAGTTAATCCGTCTTAATGAAACATCTTATATTAAGAAGAGGTTAAAATTGTAGCTTTTTGTAGCTGCGTTTGTTTCACAAAGTGGTAGTTCTTCGGGAAAAAGAACAAGGAAAAGGTGTGGAAGTCTTCTGTTCATTTCGAATACGGAGGAAATGGGGTTGTTTCGAGTCCGTGGAAGTAGCATGGTGTGTCCTCATCTTAACATTAGCCATGAAAATAACGATGGAAGAACGGCAGGCTTGTAGCATTGTGTCTGTTTAAAAGAGTTTCTAGAGTAGAAAATATCGATTCTCCTCACAATTCCTCGTAAGTTTTGAACTCAGTCAGGGTTGGAAAATCAAAACTGAGCAGCCGCAGCCCATATATGGTAATAATTATTCATTTTTGATCTAATCCGACTTTTTTTTTAATCAGTTCACCCCAAGGAAGATAATGACGCCACTAAGCGGCTAATGGGAGTGAAAGAGAATAAAATAGACTTTAGAAGGAACCATCCTGTTCGCAGCGCCATGTAGAATATTGGTTAGCTTGCCAGTGGTCTAACAAGCAAGTAGGCAAGTGTAGCCAAAGCTAAAAACTGACTTGAGTCATTTCATGGAGAAATATATGGGTGAATAAAGACCACTCATGCAAATGTATTGGGCAGGTCCATTCTAGCAAAATGGACCAACCTAACTGGTGTATTAGGCACTCTCCTATAAAATCAGGTAAAATCAGCTGGCTTGCTTTACAAGGAAACAGAAGAAGGCAGCCATGTTGGCAGGTAAGTCACTTGACTTCTACAATATCGTACAATTTCTTAAATCAAACCGTATTCCAAAATATAACTTCAACAAAACAAGAACACAAAACACACAGCACCGCCTATAGTCATTACGTCCACTCAAACATATCTATGCACAAAAGCTGAGCATCATCTACCATGTATTCAATTATGAAAGCAGGTATCATGTTTTCATTACTTCAAAGCTCCCAAGAAAATTAAATTTCGGTATTAAATGACACATAAGATGTCGATATGCCGTTAAACAAACAGATCAAATCTTCCACAATGAATTGTAATAATTGAATCCGACTTGCGGCCTCAAGTTCAATTGAAGCCCAACAGACGTTCAGAGCATTCAGCTTTATTGTGAATTCATCGTGACTAGAGATAGCTCAGCCTCTGGGTAGTGGTAATTGAACGACTTCAGTTCGTCTTTTGAGACTTTGGATACTACAAAACAGAGAGTTTGCATTCTACACATACATGGTCTTATCAGAAAATCGAAAATGAAATTTTAATCTTGAGCGAGGATAAAAACCATACCTTGGTCTTTGAGCTGTACAATATATGAAGAACGAAGACAAATGTCATGATACGATAGATCTTGACTTAGAATCAGAATGACCGTATGGTAGTCAGATATTTGATAAACATACTATTGGCCAGTTAAGGTGTCTATGCTGACACTCAATCTCAAGGTTCGTAAAGAATTTCTTTTTAGCGATTTAACAAAATATGTGATTGCATTTCAGGTGAGGCTTTATCTTTACTGTCTGTTTTATTTTTCATATCATTATGCTCACCTTCGTTTTTATACTAGCAATGTTTCGGGCGTTGTAACGCGCTCACAATTCGCATGTAATTCGTCAAACGATTCGTGATGCGCACTCCTTAGCTAAATGATTAGCGACATACAGCATCAGGAGTGTACGTTTAGTATAACGGGATATCAATATATCAGTACCGAGCCCAAATTCCAAATTAGTTTCTTACCTTCGTTTTTACACAATTAAGAAAGGCAAAAATCCGTCTTTTACCTCAGAGGTATGGCTGAAGTAGTAGTGTAGATTGGCTGGCAACGAATCTGTCAACTGAAACCACTGAATTCGAAAACGTAGTCAAAGTCCCGGGAAACCACTCGACAATTTCCCCAAGAATTAATAATGCATGAAAACAAAGAAAAAAATATCTCTGGAGAATTATCATCGCATGTGTACCGGAAGGACATGGAATTAAAAAAGAAACCACGTATTCATTCAATAAAATTATGTTACTTCGTAAGAGACAGTACTTTGATCACGCTATCCTTGGCCTTCATTGCTGAAGCCATGTTGATGAATAAATTAGAATAATCATTGCTGTTTTGAGGATTTTCTGAAGAAGAGATACATTCTCTTTCACTGGTTTGTGTAGTAAATCCAACCATAAAAACAAACCGGCTATAGAAACGATAAAAATAGCTGGGTTACTGTAATGCTACTAAAACTAACAGCGAATGAAAATAGCTTGAATGATGATAATAAGATGATAAATTGGTGGCCGACAATGTATGTCTTAATGAATAATTTGCATGATTAGCCTGAATAATTTTATTTTTCCGAATATTTTTGGATATATTATTGGAAATGTGTTATCGAGTAAAAGCCAATGAATAATTAGAAAGACTGCAAGTTTAAAACTATAGTAGTCGTAATGATATCAACAGCGGTCATGACGCTGATGAGAAAATGATAGTGGAGGCGTAGAGAGAGAGAGAAGAGAGAGGGAGGGAGAGGGAGAGCGGGGGGAATTTGTAATGTAAAGAAATAAAGAGAGGGAAAGAGAAATATATAGAGTGAAACTAGAGAGTTTGAAATTGACACTGAAAACAAAGAAAAAGCATATGACGACCCCAAGTCCAATTACTGTTGAAGCTTGGATAAGCGTGGAATAATAATAATACAACACAAAATGTACGTTAACAAAATGTATTGAAACAAGGAAAAAGGTACACAATATTTACAGTTAGTTTTGGTATATTCTTGGGAAGACTGTTCCTGTAGAATGGGTTGACTTAATCGCAGTCGGGCAGAGTCTCTCGATTGGATCTCTTGTTACTTCCTCCATCGTCTTCCCGGTACCAACCCATATTTATATGGTCGGTACTCCACTATGTAAATTAGGTGGATCGTACCACAACAATTACAGAGAGTCTATGTTACTCAGTGAACAAACAAAACTAAATAATTGAAGTGAATAGGAACAATCAATAATGATAGACGGCAGCATCAATGACATCACTGTGAGTGATGAAGCAGGGAGATGTCATTTGATCTCCAGTATAAGCAATCAGATTTTATTGGTATTTAAATTCTCTTCTTTTGTCGCACCTTCTTCAATGCTGTTACTGCATCAAAATGTATCCCAGTCAAAACAGCATGGAATAAGGTTGAGTCCGCGCCATTTAAACGAGTAACACTAGACTGTACATGTTATTTCAGGCAAAATCTTTGTCTGTTACTCTCGGCAAGTAGGTAGTTAGAGCGGCCTCCCCTGTCGTTCGAATCGGGGTCCTTACACCACCATGTGCAAATCAGCACAAGCTGCTCAAATTCACTCTGGGCGGTTGTTTATATAATGAATCTATCACGAATCATTCTCACGTAAACTGTTGGGAGGTCAGGTGCTTCTCATTTTTGCAGTTATGAATAGGCCAGGTCAATCCTGCATCTAGTTTCTGGTGTGAAATCGGTTAAAGAAAGTCCTGCAAGGGGGGGGCGTATCCCTCCTCGCCTTCCTGGTGAATATTTGCAGACATTGCCTTTTTTTTTACTTTCATTTATACAGAATCTGTTATTACAAATGTATCAATTCATTAGACGTTAGTCTTTTATTCGCCAGCAAGGTTATATCGTAAATTAACCTACCTAAACTAAAGGAATCTATCTATCTATCTATCTATCTATCTATCTATCTATCTATCTATCTATCTATCTCATTCTGTTCAGATCTATCTATCTATCTATCTATCTATCTATCTATCTATCTATCTATCTATCTATCTATCTATCTCAGTGTTTCTCTTTTCTTCTCTCTCCACTACTAAGCCTCCTTCTCTCTGTGTATCTCTCTGTGTCTCTCTATCTATCACAGCATTTCTCTTTTCATCTTTCTCTTTCAAGGTTTATCCGTTATTCTCAATGAGTATATATATATATATATATATATATATATATGTGTGTGTGTGTGTGTGTGTGTGTGTGTGTGTGTGTGTGTGTGAGTTCAGTTATAATATAACCTTACAACAAGCCGTTCACCCCGATTGACACTAAAAATCACTTAGTATACGCCTCTTTAGTTATTAGGCTAAATTTTTAATCTTTTAAAATCCTTTCGATTTAAAATCTATCTATCTATCTATCTATCTATCTATCTATCTATCTATCTATCTATCTATCCCGGTGTCTCTCTTTTCTTCTCTCTCTACTAAAAATATATCTGCAAGCCCCTCTCCTTATCTATCTATCTATCTATCTATCTATCTATCTATCTATCTATCTATCTATCTGTTTCTCTTTTCTTCTCTCTCTACTAATAATCTCTCTGCAAGCCCCTCTCTCTATCTATCTATCTATCTATCTATCTATCTATCTATCTATCTATTACAGTGCCTCTCTTTTCTTCTCTCTCTACTACTAATCTATGTACAAGCTTCATTCTCTGTGTGACTGTCCCCCTCCTTATCTATCTATCTATCTATCTATCTATCTATCTATCTATCTATCTATCTATCTATCTCAGTGTTTCTCTTTTCTTCTCTCTCTACTAATAATCTTTCTGCAAGCCTCTCCCTATCTATCTATCTATCTATCTATCTATCTATCTATCTATCTATCTATCTATCTATCTATCTCAGTGTTTCTCTTTTCTTCTCTCTCTACTAATAATCTTTCTACAAGCCTCTCCCTATCTATCTATCTATCTATCTATCTATCTATCTATCTATCTATCTATCTATCTATCTATCTATCATGGCCTTGTTGGAATCATTATTCCGTCATTTTGATTCTAATGTCCGATGAAAGAATGAAACGATATGCAATCGCAGCCTACACGGCAATAAGCATAACGTCAGCCACAAGAGCACTTCTACCATTCTCACATATCTTCATATTTCCTGAAAGCGCCAAGAAGCAGTCATCAATGTGTCCTTGAATCGATCCGCCTGGCTTCCCCTATTTTCATCGTGTTTCCACCCACCACTCCCTGTTTCTACTTTTTCACTACAAAAATTAATTTCCGCACAAATGGGTCTTCTGCATCCTTTAAACAACATCCGTGTCTCATTTTTGCGTCAGTTTCTAACGGACATGTCATCGACACTCTTCAATGTAATCAACCGTCAAGTTAGACTTCTTCTCATTCCTTGCTGACTTATATGTTTATCATTTTCTATATTATTTTGTAATTTTGATGCGCTTTTCTCGACAATTTTCCCAGTTGTATAATGTTTACCTATTTTTTTGTTGTCTTTTCCTATCATTCAACCTGATTTATTTGCCATTTTATATCTATTTACGCATTTTTTTCTTTCTTTGTGTTGCTTTACATTCATTGTCTCTTCAATTTCTTATTTTCTCAAATGTTTCCATTTTTCTTTTCGTTTTTCTTTCATTAATTCCTCTCCCTCTGTATTTATTGACCACGAAGTGCTTGGGGCAGATGTGGTCCCGTATTTATATATTTAATATATCAATCAAACGATGATCCGTTGCAGGAAAGAGACGATGGCATCCCTAACTCATCGGGTTATACGCTTGTCTATAAGGGATATCATTTTTTTTTATCTCCTTCCATTTTTGTTAATTCATATTTTATATACCTCATTCATATCCATTTGCTTGCAAAATAATCTCATCCAACTGACGTTAAACCGACTGATCTCTTTCACAACGGCGACAGTTTTGTTAACTGACACCGCAAAAGGCTTTCCAAGACAGGAAATTAAAGCTTGCTTGCAATTCAAAACTTCCGGCATGTTCTCCAGTGTCAGAAGAAGAAAGAAAACGAGAAAACATTTGACTCTATAAAAAAATATATCGTGTTTTGCTTTCATTGCGGTTGGAAGCCAACAAACGTTCCCTGATTTTGATATTCTAAATAACACTTAAATAGAAAAGGAGATAATAGGTATAACTACTTCTTCTATGTGCCATGTCCCTTCAGTATATGTTGACGATCATGGCCCTCCACGATTTCTTATCCACTATAGCTTTTAATACTTTTTGCTATCTCCCCTAAACCATGTTCCGCCATCCACACACTCAAACTCGCTAGGCATGCTATGCGTTGTTTTCTTCCGTCTCTCTTGCCTTCAATCTGTCCTGTGAGTATCAGATTTTACAAGTCATCGTTCCTCATTATGTGCCTTAGCAATT